TTTCCAAGTTTCATGGGGCATTATCGGGTCCTCAACTCAAGATCCCTCTTAGAAAGAAGGCTCCAAAATTGTAAACTCGATGATGAAGTTAGACATGACTTGCCTTTTGATAGAGAGTCAGGGTTAATATTAGATGTCAAATTCTCTTAGCTCAATGGCTTATTTAGCCACCCTCCTGGACAGTTNTCGATGATGAAGTTAGACAGGACTTGCCTTTTGATAGAGAGTCAGGGTTAATATTAGATGTCAAATTCTCTTAGCTCAATGGCTTATTTAGCCACCCTCCTGGACAGTTTTGCTTTTTGGATGATGACTTTCAACGATGATCAGTTAGGACCACAATAAGGTGTGCCTAGAATTAATGCCTTAATTTCCTAGTCATGGCCACCAGGGCTAAGGCCAGATTTTCNCCAAAATTGTAAACTCGATGATGAAGTTAGACATGACTTGCCTTTTGATAGAGAGTCAGGGTTAATATTAGATGTCAAATTCTCTTAGCTCAATGGCTTATTTAGCCACCCTCCTGGACAGTTTTGCTTTTTGGATGATGACTTTCAACGATGATCAGTTAGGACCACAATAAGGTGTGCCTAGAATTAATGCCTTAATTTCCTAGTCATGGCCACCAGGGCTAAGGCCAGATTTTCCAAGGAAATGTATCTTGTCTCAACATCTAGGAGGGTTTTTTTGATTTAGTAGACCGACTTTTGTTCAGACTTATGCTCCTTGATTAGTGCCCCACTGACTATATATTCCAAGACAAAAAGGTATAAGTAGAGTACCTCCCTAGGCTCCAGCACCAAGAGCGTGGGAGAGGTCCTCAAGGACTCCTTGATCCATCACAATAGTTATCCCATTTCTCCTTATGGACCTTCTTCAGGGCCTAGAATAAGGGTTTGTATTTATCTAAGGACTTGGAGATGAAACGATTAAGCATCGCGAGCATCTCGATAAGCTTTTAGATGTCTTTAATTGTTCAAGGACTCTGTACCTCCATGTGGGCTTGTATCTACTTAGGGTTTGCCTTAANAAAGGTTTTGTTGATTTAGTAGACCGACTTCTGTTCAGACTTATGCTCCTTGATTAGTGCCCCACTGACTATATATTCCAAGACAAAAAGGTATAAGTAGAGTAAATCCCTAGGCTCCAGCACCAAGAGTGTGGGAGAGGTCCTCAAGGACTCCTTGATCCATCACAATAATTATCTCATTTCTCCTTATGGACCTTCTTCAGGGCCTAGAATAAGGGTTTGTATTTATCTAAGGACTTGGAGATGAAACGATTAAGCATCGCGAGCATCTCGATAAGCTTTTAGATGTCTTTAATTGTTCAAGGACTCTGTACCTCCATGTGGGCTTGTATCTACTTAGGGTTTGCCTTAATCCCTCGGCGAGTCACCAAGTACCCAAGGAACTTGCCTAAGCTTATGCCCAAAGGAACACTTGGAGACATTAAGCTTCAACCCATGGTGTTAGAGTATCTAAAAGGTCTTGATCACATCTTTTAGGTGATCTCCTCAGTTCCTACTCTTCACGAGCAGGTCTTCAAATATAGACCTCCTTAATGATCCCAATTTACTAGTTAAACATTTTGTTCATCTATTTTTGATATGTGGCCTAGACATTTTTTAGCACGAATAGCATGACCTTGTAGTAGTAAACTCCCCTCAAGGGCACGTAGTAGACTCTGATGGTAGCCCACCTGAGCATCCATGAAGGTCATCCGCTAGTGCCCCGCAGTTGCATCAAATAACAAATCCACCTTGNAATGATCCCAATTTACTAGTTAAACATTTTGTTCATCTATTTTTGATATGTGGCCTAGACATTCTTTAGCACGAATAGCATGACCTTGTAGTAGTAAACTCCCCTCAAGGGCACGTAGTAGACTCTGATGGTAGCCCACCTGAGCATCCATGAAGGTCATCCGCTAGTGCCCCGCAGTTGCATCAAATAACAAATCCACCTTGAGCAGGAGGTAATCATTTTTGGGGCAAGATTTATTAAGGTCAACAATGCCACACAAATATACCACTTCCCACTTTTATTTTCTGTGAAAACAGTTTTAGACAGGGTTGGATCTATATGTGACTAGTGGAAAATTACTCAAAGTTCTAATCCCCGCATCTTATTGGGAGTCTTAGCAAATACATCAGCATTGCNAAATCCACCTTGAGCAGGAGGTAATCATTTTTGGGGCAAGATTTATTGAGGCCAACAATGCCACACAAATATGCCACTTCCCACTTTTATTTTCTGTGAAAACAGTTTTAGACAGGGTTGGATCTATATGTGACTAGTGGAAAATTACTCAAAGTTCTAATCCCCGCATCTTATTGGGAGTCTTAGCAAATACATCAGCATTGCCCTGAAGGAAACCCATCATTTCCTCCTACTCGGCCCTTGTCAGAGATGAGCTGACAAGGAAAAATATCTCTTTTTCATCTGGCTAGAGGTAAACTATAATAAGCTCCTCTTTTGACAGGTCGGGGGGCTCAACTCGGGGTTCATCGACTCTAAGCTGACCANAAAAAATATCTCTTTTTCATCAGGTTAGAGGTAAACTATAATAAGCTCCTCTTTTGACAGGTCGGGGGGCTCAACTCGGGGTTCATCAACTCTAAGCTGACCATTCCTTGATTACTATTTGGACAAGATTGCCTACGGTTCTTACTCCTTGGCCTTTGCATTCACCCTAGTCTTGATGGAGGCAAAGAGGCACCTCTTCAAGGTTGCCTAGTCCTNGAAAAATATCTCTTTTTCATCTGGCTAGAGGTAAACTATAATAAGCTCCTCTTTTGACAGGTCGGGGGGCTCAACTCGGGGTTCATCGACTCTAAGCTGACCATTCCTTGATTACTATTTGGACAGGATTGCCTACGGTTCTTACTCCTTGGCCTTTGCATTCACCCTAGTCTTGATGGAGGCAAAGAGGCACCTCTTCAAGGTTGCCTAGTCCTCGCATATTTTCCTAATCCCCCAAGGGTGGAGAATTTGATTTATTGATGGTAGGATAAGTACACTGTCTTTAAGGCATGCAACCATGTATTTTCCATGATTACATTGTAGATAGTCAGAGTCGATCATAGTGAACTCCACGGGGAGTGTAATGACCCCAACTGTGACCAAGAGGGTTATCTTCGCTGGTGGTAATGCATATGAACTATAGAACCCGATCAGGGTGGTCTTCATGGGCATCAAGTCTTTTAGGTTGAACCCCATCTTTTAAAACAAGTTCTGATACATAAATTTCGATGAGCTGCATGAATCTACCATGATGCATCTCACATCGAACTTTCCTATCCTCGGGTTTAGAATGAGAGTATACTCGTGGAGCAAAACAACGTCGGATAGGTCGATACTGGTGAATGAGATGGATTCAAAACTAGTACAACCTCTCTTGGAAAGGGGAAACTCGGTCTTGCCTTCTTCGAACTCCATGGCCTAGGTGACCCTCTATAATTCGGACCTTAAATAATTACTAGTCGACAGGTACTATGCGCACGCATAAATCACCTCAATAATTGCAATTGCTTCCTTAGCGATAACATCGGAATGCTTCTTGCCCTCTCGAGTTTTGCTATCATCAACAATTCTCGGAGGTGCCCTTCTTGCACCAAATTTTTTAGGAATGCCTTGTACACCTGGCAATCCTTAGTGAGGTGTCCAATATCTCGATGGTAGGAGCACCGCCTATTGAACTATTAGTGAAAGGATCACCATGCATCTTTGGTGGCCACTTGAAGAAAGTCTCATTCTTTATCTTATGGAGCATTTTGTAAATTGGCTCCTTAAAGACCATGTGAATCCCCTTGATGAGGTTTGAGTAAGAGGTTGAGAGGATCCTCCTTTCTTACTTAGGGGATTCTTTTCCTTCCAGTTCACCACTGAAGCTTTGCCCTAGGTCCCAACCATTTTATACTCAACCTTGGAGTATTTGTTGATACGAGCCACAAGGTCTCCCATGTCGGTCAGAGTCCACTTGGTTAGGGACCAATACAAGTTTGTTTCTCAGGAGAGCCCGAGTCTGAATAAGACAGCTGCCATTGTTTCCATGCATCCTTGCACCTCATTGAACACCTCCCCATTTGTGTTGCATATTTTCAGAGAATCTCTCCTTCTTTCTATCGCAATGTACAGACAGCGTCAACATCCTTTGTCATTTTGCTACTGGTGATGAATCGATCCAAGGATTGCTCGATCATTTGCTTCCAAGAGCTTATGCTTTTAGGGACCAAGCTATCATACCACTTCATTAGGAAAACTCAGCACAATAGCTTATGGGTTGTGATGTAGAGGGACATAAATTGCTTGTACTACTAGATATGTCCCTTGGGATCAGTCCTCCCGTCGTAGATTTTGAACCGAGGCATGATGAACTTTCTTGGTATCTCAACCTCCTGGATACTTCGAATAGAGGGGGATTTCATTAGACTATCCTAGAGATCGTTATTCGAGAACTTGCCATGCCGAGGCCCTTGTCATAGGTGGGTAAGATGGGACCGCAAGTCNACTAGATATGTCCCTTGGGATCAGTCCTCCCGTCGTAGATTTTGAACCGAGGGATGATGAACTTTCTTGGTATCTCAACCTCCTGGATACTTCGAATAGAGGGGGATTTCATTAGACTATCCTAGAGATCGTTATTCGAGAACTTGCCATGCCGAGGCCCTTGTCATAGGTGGGTAAGATGGGACCGCAAGTCCTCCCTTATGTTTGGAATCATCCTTGAGCTTTGGGACTTTATGGACTCCCGTGTACTTGACTGAGAGGTTTGATCCCTTATCAGACACCTCCATTCCATCCTTTCACGACACTCAATGGTAAAGGTCCTCACCAGCCAAGGGTCTCACCCTTTTCTCCATCCTAAAGAGATTGCCCCCTAGGGGGCACTCCCACTTGGAGGCGTGGGAATATGTCGCCTTTTATCCCAAGCACTAACAGGGATCGCTTTGGGGGCAGGTCTTGTGAATGCTCTTAGGAGAATATTCTATAAGTGCTATGGCTCGCCTTGCCCCTCGGGAGGCAACTTATGCCTTGTGAGGCCCTGACCAAGAGTTGAAATTTGTTGTGTGTTAATGAAACTGACATTGCCCTTCTCTATTTGCTTTAATTAGCCACCCAATCGTTCCTCTATTCAATTCCATCAAATCATGGACAAGGAATTTTGCCCCTTGCCCGCTTGAGTGTCGGTTCCGTGTTTTGAGGGTTTGGCTTGGAATTTTGGTGAATCCCATCTAAGTGGTCTAGGGATTTGGACACTCATGGCATACGAAGCTGGTTAGTGCTAGCATTCCTTGCACAAGTATTATCCTACGCATTGTCGTGATAATGTGTGTTTACCATGGTGCTAGCCACAGGAAAAACTTGATTCAATAGTTTCCTACATACGATGCCTGCATAGGTGGATTCCTGTGAAATAGTTTGAGATAGAGACAACTAGATAAATGAGGCTTGATTGATGCAAACAAGGAATAAGATTACAAGGGGGGCGGAGACATGTCTAGCTTATCCCCTCCAAAGCCTTAGTTAGTCGACGTTCGCAGAGAGGATAATGTGTGCGGTCCCAATTTGGTTGAGAGATGATGACATGGTGTTGTGTGAGTCACATCAAGCCAACCAGGAGTACACCCTCAGGGGTGAGCAATCAATGGCTACTACCTTCCTCGAGCCTTGCATTTACTAAGCCTAGGGGAGGTCAATAATCACTCAGGGTCATACCTCATGATTGCTATGGTCAGGGGACCAAGCATATCATGTATGCAACCCTGGCATTTAATGGCCTCTGTCAGGCATTAAATGCGTTGCGCCAAGCATTTATGGGACCTATGCTGAGCATTGAATACATTCTCCCTCGACTTGTCCTCGTCAACAATGGTCATACATTTAGCTGAAAATTCTAAAATACAATGTGTGACCCAATGTGATGTGTTAGCACAGTGGTTATTTCCTTCTATGTGTCACATCATAGGGTCTCACATGTCTGTTCAATATTTATTACTCAGGCTCGAGACCATTTACTCTAGGACTCTATAGACCCCAAAGGTATGCTTGTGTCCTTGATGTAGCCTTCTCGGTGTAGGATACTCCATGTCCACGCGTAGTGTGTTAATACGAGCATCACTTTATGTTCCATCAAAATTTATTATAATAATTTTAATAAAATACATTTTGACTCCACTGATCATCATAATTATTTTGTCTAAACCACCTTGGCAAAAATTCTAGTTAATAACACAACTATAGTAAATGTACATATCATTTCAGGTCGCATTTGATAACATTTTTTAGTATTTTTCTACTCTTTTGTCTTTTTAAGATTTAAGTAGAGTTCTTATTTTTTGTTTTTTTTTGCTGCCCTAGTTTACTTTCTTCCTCCAAAATTAATGGCATATATCACGTCGGCATCGACCTAGGTCGGCTAGGCTTTACCCAGCCAAGGCAGGAAGGATACAAGGCGCACATTAAAGCGTTTTGGACTGAGAGCCAGAGTGTTATTCAAGTTGTGTTATTCAACAATGGGGTTTTCGTGGTGGGGAGGGCTAAGAAGTGTGTGCACAGTGAGGAGGCAATGGGCGTGGAAGCTATAGCCTTGCAAAAATCTGTGAGGTTTGCTCGACTTCAAGGAATACAGTCTATTATTTTGGAAGGGGATTCTATTCAATTTTTGAAATCTATTCAGGCTATAGATATTGAGGAACATGCGGAATCCAGGGCCGTAGATCTGGATAGTGTGAGGCTTGGACTCAAAAGTTTGAATTATTACCAGATGACTATGGTCGGAGAAATGGTAAAAGAGTGGCGTTAAGCCTAGCTAAATATGCAAAGTTTCTTGAAGATTCAATTATATGGCGAGAGTGTGCTCCAGATTTTGTAATGTCTCTTCTTTTTTTGACGTAGGTATCAAAAAAACATACCATTCCTATTCAAAAAAAAAAAAANATGGTGTTGTGTGAGTCACATCAAGCCAACAAGGAGTACACCCTCAGGGGTGAGCAATCAATGGCTACTACCTTCCTCGAGCCTTGCATTTACTAAGCCTAGGGGAGGTCAATAATCACTCAGGGTCATACCTCATGATTGCAATGGTCAGGGGACCAAGCATATCATGTATGCAACCCTGGCATTTAATGGCCTCTGTCAGGCATTAAATGCGTTGCGCCAAGCATTTATGGGACCTATGCTGAGCATTGAATACATTCTCCCTCGACTTGTCCTCGTCAACAATGGTCATACATTTAGCTGAAAATTCTAAAATACAATGTGTGACCCAATGTGATGTGTTAGCACAGTGGTTATTTCCTTCTATGTGTCACATCATAGGGTCTCACATGTCTGTTCAATATTTATTACTCAGGCTCGAGACCATTTACTCTAGGACTCTATAGACCCCAAAGGTATGCTTGTGTCCTTGATGTAGCCTTCTCGGTGTAGGATACTCCATGTCCACGCGTAGTGTGTTAATACGAGCATCACTTTATGTTCCATCAAAATTTATTATAATAATTTTAATAAAATACATTTTGACTCCACTGATCATCATAATTATTTTGTCTAAACCACCTTGGCAAAAATTCTAGTTAATAACACAACTATAGTAAATGTACATATCATTTCAGGTCGCATTTGATAACATTTTTTAGTATTTTTCTACTCTTTTGTCTTTTTAAGATTTAAGTAGAGTTCTTATTTTTTGTTTTTTTTTGCTGCCCTAGTTTACTTTCTTCCTCCAAAATTAATGGCATATATCACGTCGGCATCGACCTAGGTCGGCTAGGCTTTACCCAGCCAAGGCAGGAAGGATACAAGGCGCACATTAAAGCGTTTTGGACTGAGAGCCAGAGTGTTATTCAAGTTGTGTTATTCAACAATGGGGTTTTCGTGGTGGGGAGGGCTAAGAAGTGTGTGCACAGTGAGGAGGCAATGGGCGTGGAAGCTATAGCCTTGCAAAAATCTGTGAGGTTTGCTCGACTTCAAGGAATACAGTCTATTATTTTGGAAGGGGATTCTATTCAATTTTTGAAATCTATTCAGGCTATAGATATTGAGGAACATGCGGAATCCAGGGCCGTAGATCTGGATAGTGTGAGGCTTGGACTCAAAAGTTTGAATTATTACGAGATGACTATGGTCGGAGAAATGGTAAAAGAGTGGCGTTAAGCCTAGCTAAATATGCAAAGTTTCTTGAAGGTTCAATTATATGGCGAGAGTGTGCTCCGAATTTTGTAATGTCTCTTCTTTTTTGACGTAGGTATCAAAAAAACATACCATTTCTATTCAAAAAAAAAAAAGAGTAAATTTCACTGACATCCTCTGGATTTAAGTCATTTTCATTGACATCCCTCCAATTTTTAAAATATCACTATACACCCCCGTAGTTTATATACACGTTTCACAAACTATCCCTTGTGTGATGTGATGGTTTATTCTCTTATGAATTGCCAAATTTACCCTTTGTCATATAAAATAAGTTTAAAGCAGTGATAACTATAATTTTAATATTAATTAAATTAAATTAAATACTAATTGGATTAAATAGAATGTTTCCTATAAAAAAATGTTAATTTGGTGTTAGTTTTAAAAAAATAATATTAATTTGATAAAATTAAAAATTAAATTCAAAAAATTGAATGTTAATTTTATAAAATTGAAAGTTAATTTATAAAATTGAATAACCATTTGGTATTGATTTGATGAAATTGAATGATAATTTGAAATTCAATCAAAAAAATGATGTTAGTTTGATAAATTAGATGTTAAATTGATGAAATTAAATGTTGTGTTAGTTCTATAAAATTTAATATTGATTTAATGAGATTGAATATTAGTTTGCTGAAATAAAATGATAATTTTATAAAATTTAATGTCAATTTCACATTAATTTAGTAAAATATTATATTAATTTGATGAAATTTAATGTTAATTTGATAAAATTTATAGTTCATTTGGTGTTAAATAGATCAAATTCAATATTAATTTGATGAAGTTTCATGTGATTTTGATAAAATTGAATTTTAATTTGGTGTTAATTTCATGCAATTGAATATTAATTTGGTATTAGTTTACTAAAATTCAATGTTAATTGAATGAATTGAATGCTAATATAATGAATGTGAATGTTAATTTGGCAAAATTTAATGTTAATTTGATAAAATTTAATGTAAATTTAGTACTAATTTGATGAAATTAAATTTTAAGTTGGTGTTAATTTGATAAAATTAAATATTAATTGGATAAAATTAAATTAATCAAACAAAATTAAAGGTCAATTTGAAGTTAATTTAATAAAATTATAAATTATTTTTTTATTAATTTGAATAAGGGTAGTTAACTAAAATGGGAGTTTTAGTAAGGGTAATTTAATAAAATTACATATTCTATTAGGCAACAAAAATTGACAAGAGTATGCAATGATATTTCAAAAAAATAGATGAGGTGTCAATAAAATATGACTCAAAACTAAGGAGTGTCAGTGAAATTTACCCCCAAAAAAAAAGTTGTATCACTTGCATCCTCTGTCATTTGGGCTAGAATTTAAATTGTGAACAAGAGACCATAGGACAATTATTTCTTCCTTTCTTAACAAAAACTCACTCTCTTAGACCTCCCATCAAATAAAAATATATTTTATTCAAATCTTAGAAAAAAGCAAGACAAAATCATGTAATTTTAGAATAATTTATATTATAATAAATCAAAATTAAAAAAATAAAAATTACACAATTTTCTGTACAATATCAATTAACCTCGTATTTAACAATAAACCCAATTTATTTATTGATCGTACTAAATGATTATGTCATTTTAAATTCATATTATATTTGTGTTATGCTCATATCAAAAGGGTCTCTCAAGACTAATAATATACACCTCTTGCAAAATACTTTATCTTCAAGCACGCCTCTGCATTACCTAAAATTTTATTAACACTCCCTATAAG